AAGGAAGGAAGGGAAGGAAGGAGGGAGGAGGGAATTGAGGAGGGAGGGAAGGAAGGAAGGAGAGAAGGGAATGGAGGAGGAGGGTGAGCGGGAAGAAGAGAAGGAAGAAAGGAAGGAAGGGAAGGAAGGAGGGAGGAGGGAATTGAGGAGGGAGGGAAGGAAGGAAGGAGAGAAGGGAATGGAGGAGGAGGGTGAGCGGGAAGAAGAGAAGGAAGAAAGGAAGGGAAGGGGGAATTGAGGAGGGAGGGAGGGAGGGAAGGAAGGAAGGAAGAAAGGAAGGAAGGGAGAGAGGGAGGGAGGGAGGAGGAGATAGAGCGGAATATAAACAAAGTATGTTGTTGTTGTTGTTGTTAGAAATGTTTGCCTATATATCTGTATCTCTGAGTCCCCTCGAGGAGATAAAGCAGAATATAAACAAAGTATGTTGTTGTTGTTGTTGTCAACCAAGGCAGCTTCGCGACCCCCCAAAAATGGCCGAACGACCCCCCTGGTGGTCGCGACCCCCAGGTTGAGAACCGCTGCCCTAATGAATCAGCAACCGAGGGTTTTGGGTGTGAGTTGACAATGGCAACACAGCCATTAGATGATGATGATGATGATGATGATGATGATAGGACAGCCGAGATTGTCAATCATGGGAAGCCGTGAGCAAGCCAGGTAGTCATTACCCGGCACCTCGTTCCCTCCCAGGTGTTTCGTGGAGAGGCTTTGTTATGCAAATGAGCCTTACATAAACAAGGCACCCACAGGGCGACATGGTGCTCCCTTGTGAGCCCAAGCACTGTGTTTATTTACTCAGGGTGTGAGTCATTAGAATGAGTTGTTCTGCACCCCGAAGGCACCGTTGTTGTTGCCGGCCGATCCTCGAACCTTTTCCTTTCTCAAGCAATGCACTCCTTCTTGGTTGTGGCTCCCCTTTGCGGTGTCCCAATAGGATGGGGAACCGATCTGGGATTTTAGTCCGAACATTAGACGTCATTCTTTCATCATGTCGAACTAGAACACACACCAAAGACACTGTTTTTGTACTGCGGGAGCGATTCGTAATTCTGAGATTTGTACGATTCGTTAATACAATTCTCCGAATTTGCGGATCGCAACAGGATGTGTAAATCCTCCTCCAAAATATTACAAAACAAAACGGAAGTTTCTGAAACATTTCGGATAGATTTGGAACGATTTGTTGTTTCAGAGCATTTCGAATCATGTTACTATGATGATATTGTGGAGATGGCGAAGGGAGAAAGGGAATGGAGGAGGGAATGGAGGGAGGGAGGGAAGGAAAGACGGGTGGAGGAAAAGAAGGGAATGGAGGAGGGCGAGAGGGAGGAAGAGAAGGAAGGAAGGAAAGAGGAAAAGGGGAATGGAGAAAGGAATGGAAGAGAGAGGAAGGGCATGAAGTAAGGAAGGAGCCGGAGGAGGGAATGGAGGGAATGGAGGAGGGAGGGAGGAAAGGAAAGATGGGTGGTGGAAAAGAAGGGAATGGAGGAGGCAAAAAGGAAGAGAAGGAAGGAAGGAAGGAAAGAGGAAAAGGGGAATGGAGAAAGGAATGGAAGAGAGAGGAAGGGCATGAAGTAAGGAAGGAGAGGAAAGACGGGTGGAGGAAAAGAAGGGAATGGAGGAGGGCGAGAGGGAGGAAGAGAAGGAAGGAAGGAAAGAGGAAAAGGGGAATGGAGAAAGGAATGGAAGAGAGAGGAAGGGCATGAAGTAAGGAAGGAGCCGGAGGAGGGAATGGAGGGAATGGAGGAGGGAAGGAGGAAAGGAAAGATGGGTGGTGGAAAAGAAGGGAATGGAGGAGGGCGAGAGGGAGGAAGAGAAGGAGGAAGGAAGGAGCTGGATGAGGGAATAGAGGCAATGGAGGAGGGATGGAAGAGGAAGGAAGAAAAGGAAGAAAAGGAAGAGGAAGGAAGGAAGGAAGGAAGGAAGGAAGGAAGGAAGGAAAGAAGGAAGGAAAAGAAGGGAATGGAGGAGGGAGGGCAAGATGGAGGAAGGGAAGGAAGGAAGGGAAAGGGAAAATAAAGGAATGGAGAAGTGAATGGAGGAAAGGAGGAAGAAAGACAGGCAGGAAGGAAGGAGTAAAAGATGGGAAAGAGAGGAGGAAAGGGAGGAAGGAAGGAAGAAAAAGGAGGGAAGGGCAGAGGGAAATGGCCATAAAGAGAGATATATTGCCATGGAAACATTGTGCAGCCCTCTCAGAGCTGAAAAGGGGAAACAAGGGAAGGAAAGGGAAGAAAGAAAAAAGGGGGAAAGAGGAAAACAAGAAAGGGAGGGAGGAAAAAAAGAAATCAGAGAAGGGCAGAAAGAAATTGCCACAAAGAGTGTCATGTTGCCATAAAGACATTGTGGAGTCCTCTCATAGCTGGAGAAGGAGAAATGAGAGAGGAAAGAAAGAAAGAAAGAAAGAAAGAAAAAGAAAGAAAGAAGAAAGAAAGAAAGAAAGAGAAGGAAGGAGAAGGGAAGGAAGAAGAAAAGAAGGGAGGAGAAAGAAGGAAGGAAGGGA